TTATTTGAAAAACCTCAAACTTTTGGCAATATCAAGATTAACCCAATAAAAAAAAAAGTGCAAAATAATAAAGAAAAAGACCAATAGAAAAGAAATAAAACCCATCATTAAATTTATTTCTTCTTTGAGAAACAAAAACCAAAATGTTATTGTTGTAACAATTTACCACAAGTGAAAAACAATGTCACTAATTGACTTGGCCATTGGAGACATAATTAATGGTAGGTTTGAGCTTTTTGAATTCTTTGAAAACCCAACTTATCACAACATAATAATTTAATAAAAAAGAAAATAGTAAATAAAAAAGACGACTCTGCTACATTTTAATTGTCAAAAGTAACTCACACGACATTAAATAATCAGCCATTTGAACTCATACGTTTTACGATCTTTACTTTTTTTTTATTGCCCTCCAATGATCACTAGGTCAACTTATGATGATTACAAAAGTAATTCAACGCCATCTTTTCTATTTTTGAAAACTTGACTAAGATTTCAAAAGTATTTTTGAGAGAAAAAAACAAAAAAAATAAAATAAAATAAAATTAATCCTTCAAAATTTTACTCGGTTTCAATAAATTATTTTCAGAGAAGGAAAATTGACAAACAAAATTATTGTCATAGCTGCAACATTGCCACTAGGGCATAGCCTTAATATTTTAAATATCTTAAAAAATAACACATTTTCCTCCCAATTCTTTCACTCTAATCACAACTAAGATTTCTCTCTCTTTTTTTTCTCTTTTATTTTTTCAAACTCAAAATAATAAATTGAAAAAAGGAAATATTTTTTAAAAGCAAATTTCAACTACACCTAATTATATATACATTTGACTTAATCAACAATTTCGCCTTTAACAAAAAATAAAAGAAATAAAAAGTCAAATAATTTGAGTAGTATATATATTATTAGCAAACATGTAGTATTCACACACAAATATGAACCATATCTGTAAATTGTTAAAAATTTATCAATCCCAATTAAAGAAAGAGGAAAAATACATCCATCTACTCAAATGGTCCAAAAACATCATTCAAATCCATAGAAAATGATGTTAATCCATAGTTCTTTTTTTAAAAAAAAAATAYGGAGAGATAGACCATTCGAACTTACAACATTTTTATCGAACATATATGTCTTAACCCGTTGAAATATGTTCAAATTAGCATCAATAACTTTCGTTACAAATTTTCACATTTTAGTAATTTTTTTAACATTTTCACAAACACAATTATCTACATAGAAAAAAAATCTATTTGACATGTTTATGAATAAATCTTACGAAACAAACGCAATTATATTCGGTTGCTACAAAATCCAATTACTCGAATGTATTAGAATAAATTCGAAATTAAGTAGTCAATCCAAAAAATAGAGAGAAAAAAAATTGAAGGTGAGGGAAGAAGTCAAACCTTGTAAGAAAATTCTCACGTTCACACGAGGGCCAGTAATGGCCTTACATGTGCTCCAACCAACACCAAAAAAATTATATATATATATATATATAAATAAATATGTGGGATTAAAAAAATATATTTTTGGTGGTTGAATTGAAATAACAACTTAGTCCATCTATTTTGATCTATAAAAATAATAATTTAATCTATGTACTTTTAAATTGATGAAATTTAGTATTTATAGTTTAAAATTTGTACTAATTTAGCCTTTGAAAAGTTTCATTAAATCTAAATGTTGATTTTTATTGTGTAATGATTGAGTTTTTATAATTTATAAATATATTTGGTTAATCATTGGTTTATCTATATGCATGTATAAAAAACTCTATTAAATCTTGATAACATTTTTTATAATACATCCTGAATCGTGATTTTTTTTTCATAATGCTAAATTACAATCTTATTTGCAAAATATACATCTCCCGAAGCTTGTTCAAAGAATAACACTTAGAAAATTGTAGGTCATCGACCTATGTAATTTCATTGTGTAAACTACATAAACTAAAATCTCGTTTGGTAATGTCTCAATTTATTGTTTATGTTTCCTCATTTTTAATAAAGAAAAATAAAATTACATGACCCCAAAATCCATAAATCAAAAAATGATAAAATAATTTTTTTATTTATATTTTGGAAAAAATTGGAACACAGGAACTAGAAAACAAGAAACCTTTTTTCGATGTTTCTAAAATTTCTCATACAATTTTGAAAATGCTTATAAACAATGGAAAACAAGAAACATAAATAGTTGGTCAAAGGTATAGGTTTTTAACAAAATAAAAAACGAGAAACAAAACAAAACGTTACCAAACAGACCATAAATGATTAAGAGGCTAAATTACCATAAATTTAAAATTATATATTGTAGACTAAATCAGTAAAAAATATTTTTTTAACATTAATTTATTTAGAAACCAATAATTAATAGTGGGTCCCACCAAAGTGCAGTGGCAGTCCTCTCCTCCAATAGTATTTCGTTCCAACGCCGAATGATTAGTTGTCAGACCCTTTTGCAAATGTGAGCAGCTTGATTTTGACGTCCGATTTTATTTATTTATTTATTTGTTTATTTTGAATTAGTGGGTTTTGGTGGGCCCACTACCCAATTATCTGGGCCCAGTTGTGGGCCCATTTCTCAGATCTATTTAGGCCCAGTCTTTTTGGTCCAATCTTTTTG